AATGGTTAGGGCAATGGTGATAATAGCTATGATTCTGGACCGCTTGATAGCCCAAAAGGGCAAGCTGTGGTACTTTAGGTCATTACAGGTTCACCTTTAGGCTCTATAGCTGACATATAGCTATTATATCACAGAATTGCAATAAAGTAACATCACAAAGAGGCTTCTGTATTCCAACAGAAAACCTATATTTAAATAAGCGAGTCTATGAGTGTTCTTGTAAGTATCTGGTTATAATTGTCTCCAGATTTATACTCCAAAAAAATATAAAATGTATTCTTGATGTTACCCAGAAATCCATTTTTAAGCATTAAAAGTTTGCTTAGTCTTGAAAGACGATAGATTTAGTATGAAGGGCCCTATTTTTAAGTTCTTAAATATAAGAACTCAATGTTAAATCCCAAGAAATTAAACACAGTATAAGATACCACTAAGATATGCTACTTGGGGACCTGACATATCCGAACGCCGACTGTGACCACCACGTGGTCAGTGTCCCCCCGACTCTTGTTGGTGGCTGGCCGCGACTACACACACAGACACTGAGCGGGTCGGCTCTAACAACACCCCTTGTTCACGCACCACAATGTTGCTTGCAGGTGTTAAATGACTAATCCAGGTCCCAGCATCATATGAAAGTAGGGGATAGAAGATTAACAAATTCCTAATGGTTTTCAAAGTTTAATTTCCTCTAAGTTTCTGAAACTGATGAATGTCCCCTCCCCTGAAATTAGTCTGGTGGCATTAACTTGTTCAACAAGTGTTTCTTGAATGCCGACTCCATGCAGGTTCTGCCCTGGCCAGGGATGGGAAATGACAGCGGGTCCCGTCCTGTCTCTGCAGAATGCACACTCGCCAGCGCCTCACTGTGTTAAGTCAGAACACCAAATAGAAAGCAGTTCTAGTCTAACCTTCACAAAAGCAGGGTCTTATGGCTGCTTTTTTCCTAAAAAAAAAAAAAAAAAGTCGTTTGGGCTTCTTCCTCTGCACCCTCTGCAACGTAGTTTGGAGGGATGTCGAAGCTGCTGGTTTGTATTTAAAGGGAAAAAGGAAAAAAAAAATCCAAACATGGCTAAGTGACCATTTTTTTTCCAATTAATTGTGGTTGTGAATCGCTGTTTTCAGGGAAGTACGCTTCACTGTAAGTAGCTAGTAAAGTGTGACATAAGTTTGTTTCCATCTGAAGCTTTCTTTTGAGAGGGAAGGGTCAGGTCAATGTTTTGTTTAAAACATGTGATTTCTCGCCTAGTTAGGGACAGATCTGGCCTCTGTCAATGAAATGCAATGTGTTATGGTATTTCTCACTCCAAGACCAAGGCCTAATATTCTTTATTTGGAAAATTTTCCCAATTATAGGTCTAATACTACAGTTACTACGACAACTACAAAATGCCAGGACAGCGAGGTGCTGAGGGAAGGGGGATGCCACGTGGGCCTCAGAGTCCACACTGTCACCCTCCAGGGCTGGCGTCAAATGCTCCGCCCCTACTGTGCGCCGGGCCGAGGCCAGCCCGGGACGGGAGCATGCGCATAGGGACCACGCAGGTTTCTTTCTAACTCTGAGTTTGCAGGGCTCACGCTGGAGCCAGATCCACGTGACTGAGCACCAAGGCTGTTAATCATTTTCTTTGCTGCCTGAATGGAGGTGAGCAATGACCGCTTGTGCGTTATTTCCACAACCAAACCCCTGCCTTATGTCTGGAGCACATTACCAAATAAACTTTGATCAGCACGGATTCTACCCCCGACTTTACAAGGGAAATGCGATAAATCAGTGGCTAGAATGCACCTCACTTTCAGGAATTTCCCCAAACCCCGGACTAGTCTCTTTCCTAATGACTCTTGCCCTCCCCAGCCTGGGAGATGACATCTGAGATAGCACAGCATGTTCCGTCCCTGACACCGTCTGACAGCGCACAGAAAGCTGGCACTTGGCAATGAATTATTAATGCGCGCAAATACTGCAGCATGTATGAGATGGGGACCAGCGAAAGGTGAAGTGCTAGTTGCCATGACACCAGTCAGTTCAAGCTAAGGTTCGCGATCTTTCACTTTGTCTCAAAGAGTCGTTAGCAGAACAGAAAGGACAAACCTGAAGTGCGCACCCAACGGCTTAAGTACAAGCTCATGGCTGTGCTGCCATCGGTGCACCCGGGCGGGCGGCCCAGGCAGCCAGGCGACACCAGGACTGTTCTCCCCTGGAAGGACAGGTTCCCTGGGGCAGGAGCGGGGCCTGGAAAAGGGGCCTCTGAGGCGAAGGGAGCAGAGTGCCTGGTGCCAGTGGCAGCTGGCAAGGTCGGCTAAACGGTTAACCCAAGTCAGAGAATCACAGTCCATCGCCATATCCTCTTACTCAGATGTCTAAGACACAGGAAGACACCCAGCTTCTCCTCAGGAAAACAGGGTTGGCTCTTGATCTCGGGGGGTGGGTGGGGGGAGGGCACTTAAAATCAGTAACCAATGTACACTAATTGGTCTGTTCCGTGAGAGAATTTACAGGCAGAATGGACCTAGGGATTATCTTAACTGCAAAAAAGAAAACTCTTAATAATGGTGCCTGGCTAAAACGTGTGGAGATCCACCTTTCCTTACCCATGATTAACTTTCCTCACGAGACTCCAATACCGCAGTCGTCCACCAGCTGACAGGGTTGCTATGTGACTTTATACAGAAGGAGCCTAGCCAGTTTGGCTCAGGTGTTAGAGCATCGACCCTTGGACTGAAAGGTCGAGGATTCAATTCCAATCCAGGGCATTTCCTGCGGTGGCAGGTTCGCTCCCCAGCCCCGGTTGGGGTGGGAGGCAACCAATCGATGTCTCTCTCTCACATCAGTGTGTCTCTCTGTCTCCCCCCTCTTTTCCACTCTCTCTTAAAATCAAAGAAGAAATGTCCTTCGGTGAGGATTAACCAAAAACACACAAAAAAACCACCAGAAGGAAAAGGGACATTCCTATGGGCGCTGACATTCCTATGGAACCTCCTTAACAAGCCTAAGATCTCCCTGGCTCCTCAGGGGTCCTCTTCAAAGCACCGGGCACTTTGAAAGATAACTGTAAAGGTCATATTTACAATATAAACAAGAACTTGAACAGAAGGATGACTGGACAGACATGACATGTCCTATCTCGAGAAATCTTTGAATGTTAGGTTTACGCCAAATTAACCTCCTACAGTTCCTACCGCCCCGCTCATTCCCGTGCTCTTAATGACAGGCTGCAGCAGAGCCGGCGGCGGCCCTGTCAGGCCCAATCAGCCCAAAGCTAACAAAGAGCACGGGAGAAACGTGGATCCCGCAAAGC